TTGTGTGGACACAGCACCTTTCATGCCCATTAAAGAACTCATATCTGTGTGGATTTTTTCTGAAAAACGTTGATTAAAGGCATATGAAAATTTCCAGTTACCACGAACTCTAAAGCTAAGGAAATAAGTAGTTTTGGAAGCCATTTTCTCACTAATTTTACCTCTGAAAACAGGTGACCCCCACCTCCTTCATTCGCAAATATCTCGACTTGTATTCAAGATAAATGGATATTTTTTTATCCAAATAAAGACAATTGAACAAGCTTTACGATGATACCAATAACTCTACTTGCCCAAAAATTGACGAGAGCCTGATTCCACTACGCTGCCTCACATATATTATTAAGTGCAATACATGTGTGTATGCATGTTTTTCATAAATATTATGTAAAGTACATAGAACAATGATTGTAACACAGATTTGCACGATATAAATCATATGACATGTATTATTATAAGCAAACAATGTAATATTGTGGGATGGGGATTGGGGGGGGAGGGGGGGGGCAGCGTTGAGAGGCAAATGTAAAAACATTGTGAAAAAAATGGGGAGGGGTGAGGGGGCAAAAATTCCCCCCCAAAAAGGTGTAAGATTATATTATTTGAACAACCCCAAAGGCTGTGGGCAGGAAAAAGTGGATGGGGGGCTCAGTTAAAAAGGAAATGCTTGGCTCTAAATATTCTCGCTTTCTTTAGAATTTCGAATGGAATTGAGTACAATTTAAAGTCAGTGATTATAAAACATACCAAAATGTATTGACCTTTCAAACTGAAGTTCCAAAATCTCCGAGTGATGTACAATGTATTTCCCTGTCTTGTACATTTCCAACAATGAACAGAGCGAGCCAGAAGCTCTAGGCGAAAAATGTGTGACGTCATGGCTCGGCGCGATGTCACGGTGGAAGGGTTCAGCGAGGTCTTCGCGGATTTGGTTGGTAAAAGGGAAAGACTTGCCTTGTCAAAGTATCACTTCTAAGATAACCATTGGAATGTTTTCTGGTAGAACAAAGAATGGTTTATCAACAAGGGTAGTTAAAAAAATATGGCAAGTACATTCCAAATAATCAATGGTCATAAATTGTGTAAGATTATATTTGAGCAGCCCCTTTTTATTTTGGATCATACCCATCGGGCTCCCTTCGTCACGCTTATAGTGTAATTAAACGCTAATTACAATTTTACTCTGAATGTTTGTTGCTTATTTATTGATTCTACATAAACTTTTTTTAAAAATGATACCTCAGTAGTTACGATACAACTTTTATTAACCTTATCCGTACGTCGTGTTTAGTATCGCATTCATACGACGTGGGGAACTCTGTGCCACCACTTTCCAAAGAGGAAATTTACTCGTTAATCCGATCCGTTCGCTTCGCATAGCAGTCTGTCAAAACGATTTTTTGAGAAATGCTAAACGTTTCAAAGAAATCTTCGTTCTAGAAGTATTGCAAAATGTGAAGAATACAACCCAGGGGCTACAAAATGACCCCAGGGCGTACGGATAGGGTTACGGATTTTATGACGCTTTGAAACAAGATTTGGAAATTTGGTGGCACAAAATGAAGTACAAAAATTTGGCAGAATCAGGGCGAAAACTGATTCACAAAAATGGCACTGATTCTGGACTAACAAAGATAGCACAAACATTTTAAAAAGTCTCTGAAACAGAAAGCCACGCTCTATCCTATACTCCTAATTTCAGTGCCCTTGGAGAAGTTTGAAAACTTCACTGAAGTGCCTAGTTAACCTATGTTTGAAAACTCCTGCTTGTTTTCCTTTCCACCCACCCACCCATTTTGCATCTTTCTCCCCTTGGGGCTTTCTTTTGAGCATCTTTAGCTGAGTTGGTATCATGCCAGAATATGGTAGGGATCATAACGGTGTGTTCCTGAACCTCAGTTCTTTGAGGTGCTTGTGGAGTGAGTGATGAAGGAAGACACAGAGTAGGAGAAGCTGAGGGGGGGGGGGGGTTGGTACGTTTTACGGCGCTCGCAACTGCATAAGGTCAGATGAGCGCGCGGGGCATATTAAAAATATTCAGTTGGTAGGACATTTTGAATTTTGCACGGGTGACGGCCGAAGCCTACTCTTATCAATTTTAGACCACCAAGGGATCTTTAACGTGCAACTTGCACACGGGCCCTCCGAGATTTTTTGCCCTTGTCCGAGAAGGCTAGGTGTACATATTTTTCTACCATCAGATCAGGGGTGTGACTGAAAGACAGCAGTAAGAAGAAGCCAAGGAGTAGCAGTAGAAAGGCTGCAGAAAGAGTCAGGAGCCCAGAGGAGGGGGCAAAGGAGATGAGGGAGTTGAGGCAGAAAGAAGAGACGAAAGCAGATGACAGAACATTGCTAGAAAGCAGGAAAGGAAGTGAAAGGAGACAATTTTACAGAAGAAAAGTTTTCTGTCGCTACCCAGATTCGAACCCGGGACCTTTGAATGGGAGGCAAACACCCTAACTTCTAGGCCCCGAGAGCCCCCTAGAAAGAGTTAGTTTTT